AGGCGGTAGGCAAGCACATTAATAAGGGCTTAGGTCTTACATATTCCCCAACGTGTTCCCCGACTCTCGTGGTGGGTAATACATAGTCGATAGCCCTTGTGAAAACCAAATGCGAATAGTTATCAATTATAAGGCAGTCAATGCGTCGACTGTGGCACCCAACTTCCCCTCACCCCTTACACACGATCATCGATATGCTCGGGGATGCTCGCTATTCTTCTTTCATTGACCTTGAGTCTAGGCACCACAATATTAGGATGGCCCCTGAGGATCGCTGGACGATCGCCTTTCATGCCGTTCTGCATGAAGGGCACTCCGGCGACATTCCAAGCCAATATCTACGCCTAAATGCCTACTTGCAGCCGTCGTTAGGCAGAGGGTCTATTGATTACCTGAGCAATGTGCTCATCTACACTCCTGAGTCCTTCCGGTACGGAAACACGGAATACACGGCAGTAATCCCGTAACTCTTGCAGGAGACATGCAGGACCGTTGGGTTGTCTTGCACAGCTTCTCGCGAGCGCATCTACTCGTCAAAGGTAGTGCACTCCAATTTTCCGAAAGGCTACGGTAAATGTTCATCATCAGGAACCACCGTGCTGCGCCCTTCCGTAGGAGTGGGAGGAAAGGAGGAGTCAACGTTCTGATGGTCGAGGGTGCATAGGAGGGAACGTTGGTTGGCCTCTCGTTGCCACGGGGTGCTTTCGCGGTTGGATACCGGGAAAGGAATGATGGCCCTGAGAACGTGTAGAGGGCTTTGCAGCCCCACCTCGCTGATATGGGCTTGGTAAAATTATAGTGACCAGCAACATGGCTTGCCTCCCACATGTGCAGCTCTTGCGTGAGCGGCGTCCTACGGCCGCCATGTCATTTCCATTGCACCGACCTTCTGGACAAATCTACTGCAGCTCTTGCAAGGCAACGAACAAAATCAAGGCTGCGAACATACGAACATACCCAGCCCCCGTTTTGGTGCATTGGCTAACATCATTGGCAGCTGCTAAGCACTTACTTGGCCTTCAATAGCCAACCTGCACCCAAGTAGAAATGCATGGGCCACCATCAGAGAGACCACGCTACAGAATAGACAGATGTAGCGACTGGCGCAAGCAAATAAATGCGCATTTGCCTAGGGCATGTACAGTTTTACATGCAGCCTGTCAGAGATGCATGTACAGCTGTAGATATGTTGCACTGCTAGGAAAGGATTATTTTTGGTAATTCGAGCATGTTGCTGACCCCCCACCAGGACAAAGCTACCAACGACTAGACGCAAACGCACTACTATTACTACACTATACTACTATTACTGGCGTGAGCGCGAGCAGGCTGATTCCTGGCTTCTCGAGATGAGACATAATGCATCGAACCAGGAGCGCTCATGAGAACGGGGGTTAAACTGAACTTTCTTTCAACTTCAGCTGCTTTAGAATTTTTCCTGTGGAGGTTCCGGGTGGCGACGCACTAGGATGTTCCGCGGTGTCAGTCGATGAGCTCGCAGCTTTCCTAATGGATTAATGATAAATCTCACTTCAGGGTTCACGACTTGAGGTTCGATGACTTAGTCATCCTAGGGTTCTATTCCCCCCTAGAACGGTCTGAGGCCGTCATAGCTTGGCCTGCCTCCTCGGAGTTGCGCAGCTTGTTATAGTGTGTTGCACAGTAACCCAGTAAGCTTAGCAAGGTACGCAAGGTACGCAGTTGTCGCATCTCGTTCGTGCCAGCGCGAAAGTTGCCTGGATGAGCAGCAATCCAGCCAACCAACTAAGGATAGCTGGATATATAGCTAGGCTGTTGTGTAAACTATGACGGGCAAGGCGAGCGAAGCAACTCCTCGCAAACCAACTCCTCAGCAGCGCATGAAAAACACGATAATGCAACGGCAAAGAGGACGTATATGAACACAGAACAGAGAGGCAATACGTTTGGCAAAGGCAGGCAAATGACACAAGAGACAAATGACAAAAATGAGAGATAAAGGAGTCAGCCCGAGTCACAAAACACTGCAGATGTGTTTGCACGTAAGGCGCACGTAAAGGAGCGCCGGTACCCCGTGTCAGGTAGGATATTCGAAAGCTCGCACATGGGCTGGAAAACAGTTCTTTGACATAGTTATGTGCTTCATCCATTTCCTCACTATTCGGTTAGTTGCGCTTGTAAGCATTCGCGCTACTGTCAAACACACCTATTTCCGTATATAAACGCTCGTGTCTGGACAAGCTCTCCTCTTTTGAGATAGATGCCTATTGGTCCTTGTGGCTTGCTCATATAACGTTCCACGCTTAATACACAAATACCCGTTTGTCCATATAAAAGCAGTTTTTTTCATTCTGGCGTTGGCGGAGGCAGCTCGTCCTCCCCAATCCTCAAGGCGGTAGAGGGACTGCCGGGAAGTGCGAGGTTTCCCACCTCTCCGTCGTCAGCCATACCCCGCCGCTTATCCCTCGCTCCCAGTCGCGTGTTGTGGTGCATATTTCGGACTATGTTTCGAAGGCGGGTTAGCAGGCAATCCACTGCCCTAGCAGCAGGAGAAAGCTGCCCGGGCCCCCCGCCGCCCGCAAAAACAGCAGGGGCCCCCGCCGCGCCCGAACGATTAATGGCTGCACCCAAATGATGCAGCGTGGGAGGCCCCCCAACGGGCCCACAGGGCCCCGGGCGAGCCCGAGCAGCGCGGGAACGGGTCATGTAAGAGGGCCCCCCTTCGTCATCCTGTGGGCAAAACCTGCGGGATGCGACTTGCATGCACGTGAGGAGAGTGTCCAGTTGAGTTGATTTAAGGGTGAGGGGCAGCGGAGCAGTGGGTGGAGAAGCTGCTGCTGCTGCGGCTGTGGCTTCCGAGCCACCCTCTTGCTGCAATAGCAGCTGCTGCTGTTGCTGCTGCTGCTGCGGCTGGGTGCTGGGCCTGTCTATCAGCAGACAGCCAGGCACGAAGCAGCGCTGCGGTGGCCCCCACAGAGGCGCATCATTTGCAATGCTCACAACGCGGCCAGGCACAACGAGCCCTTTCGTTGTTGCTGGCAGGAAGTAGCCATCATTCATGTTCTCTACAAAAACCTCAGCGCTGTCGCTTTCCCCTTCTCCCCAGTCTTCTCCACGGCAACTTGCGGGATCCTGCGGCTCAAAGTGAACATCTAACAAAGAAATATGTCGTTTTGACCGCCTTTCTAACACAACGTGCCATACATACCATAGTAGTCAGGGGCAAGGCACCTAACGACAACACAGCCGACACTGCCCACCTTCACACGCACATGCACACCGCACAGCCTCCACGAACGCCAGAAACAAAGAAATGTGCAATTAATATAAGCACATACGCCTTAACAGAGAAACATATGCTTACGCAAACACAAAACTAGAGGTGGGGCTATGGAAATTAAAGTGGTGTCTAACAAGGGGCATGCAAGTTCGTATACCCGCATAAGAGATGAAGCAAGCGGATCAGCAATGATTTGCATTTGCACGAACCCAAAACGAGCTCGAAAAGAAATCAGTAAGTGTGGGACCGCAGGGAGACAAGAAAACTGCCTCCAAGAGCTAAGCGTCCACTTTATGAACAGGTGAACACTACCAGAAAACCCAAACGAGGGAGACAGAGGAAGTGCACTAGTCCACAAACAAGTGCACCGCATGCCACAGGATAAACAGGGAAAGGAACTACCTTGAGAGTTGAATGAAGGGCCTCTCTGTGCAGCAGGTGGTCGCTGTAAACGTCAAAAGGCAAAAAGTTGCGATCATTGAAACTCCGCATGAGCTCCGTTCCGCACTCTGCTGACAAAGTCGCCACCGCCTGTACGCACAACACCCAACATCCCGTGCGAACATCCCCTTTTCTTACGATCTATCGTCTTCCGTACTATTCATTCTTCCTAATCAGCAAATCGTGCCAAGTGCATAGCTACTCTTGGGGACAACAGCATTACAAGCTACACAAGCAGTAACAACTACAGATTAGCCCTGTGATAGTTTAGTTGCAATCCTGAGAATTCTTGAATATTTACTNCCCCCCCCCCCTTCCCCCCGCCAACCCGTGCCTCTCCCTTGCCTATTAGATTGCGGCGAACAGTTCATAATACTTAGTGCTACCATGCAAAACATGTAACACGGGACCCGCAGGACAGAGCGCCAAATATACAAAACCAAGGAAGAACAGCAGTGCCCCAGAACAATCCTACAGTGCAACGCCAGTAAGTGCCGCAACACTTTTACTCCTTAGCGTGCGGCCCCAGCTATACAAGGCCGACAATCGACTGTCCTCCATCTTTCGTTTTCGATCTGTGTTGTTTTCCCTTTACACTATGCATTATCGATTGTGTTTTGCCGCATGTACTATGCATCTTGTGCTCTATCTCTCGTGCGCCGTCCTGCGCATGCATGCTAATTCTGCTTTCGCGTAAAGCCACACCTCATGCACAAGCTCCTCCCTGCGGATTTGCTTCGAGCCAATGTGCCTGTTCTTCTTCTTGATGCGGGTCCCGTCCTCTAACTCCTGCAGCTTCCTCTTCAGGCCAAACTTGAACTTGAACCGGTAGTAAAAGTCCTGAACCCACGTTGAGACAAATCTAGGAGCGTCCAAACATATGCGAATGTATTTGAACACGCTTGAACACGCTTGCACATGTTCGAATGTATCCACTCACAGAGACACCCATACAGCCACACGTAAGTGCGTTTGTGGGCATTTGGTAGCATAGAGGAGAGCTCACCACCTATATTCAAATGCATTCAGGTGCAGTATACACAATATGCATAGCATATTGTGTATACTGCACCTATGATGCACATATGATGCACCTGAATGCACGTAAACGCTAGTAGAAATAACCAAATATGCGTAGCATATACAAATAAACATAGAGAAATCTAAATACAGTAAAGGCCAGAAGAACAACGGAAAGAACATAAACAGGGTGAGACACATGCGAATACATAAAAGTACATTCAAAAACACGTTTTAAAGAGCGTATAAACATATTCGAGCATATTCGAACGCAAATGCACCTGCCCAGACCGAGACAAGCGAGTGAAACAGGGAATTAATCGTTGTGTTTGTACTCAATTCCAGAGCCGGACAACAGCAGTCTGCCACTAAGACGCATCTCGACACAGCGACGCGGGACGCACATTCCTCTGCAGAAGCAGTGAGGTGATGCAGATGACGCAGTGGAATGCAACGAAGTACAACTAAAGACAGCTACACCCGAAGGAAACGTCTGAGACGTAATGAGAGGTATTGGAGTGTATGAGTATGCATACGGAAGGCTGCTCGGATAAGGTAGATCATTCCATCTTTGCTTATTCTTACACGTCAGCACACGGCAGAAACCGTGCACGGGTGAGCACCGAGACGCAATGAAGTGTCCTTGCTCTCGCTGGGGTATGCTGTTTTGCTCTCAATCAGCTGGCAGCATGCCACGACATACGATGAAATACACGGCAAACAAAACCCAGCAAACTTCACACCAAATGACCATAGAAGGAGGTTGTGTCAGGACGCAAGCCACGAAGCAGCTGCTGCTGTAGGGCTTATTACTCACAACGCAGTCTCTGGTGGTCTTGCCGTCAAGGCAAGCTGCGATTTTCTCGAAGTTCTTTGGGTACATGAGGTACTTCTCTACAAACGTTCGAGCTTCCGCCTCCGCCCACACCGTCACCGCTTTTCTTTCTGCCTCTTGTTCAACCGGGTCAACCACCTGAGATAAAATGCACAATCCAAGTATGCACATCCGCCAAGTTGATAACAAAGACTCTCTGAGTGATCGACGCAAGCACAGATGGTTCCTGCATGGAGACATTGGTACGGCCCTAAGCGCATACACTGGCAAGGCCCACGCCCCTTCGCCGGAAAAGTGCCTATACCCATCCGTAACAGTAATAAAAACGCTAGCAGTACGCGCTTCGGTTGCTGCTATCGCCAACAATGCGACTGGGCGACTGGGAGCTCATATGGTGTTTCGTCGCCTGCATGTGCCCAAGAAGCGGGGCGTTTGTGCCCTTACGCTACTTCATGCTAGTATATGCATCATCTGCATCCGGTGTGTGTGTCGATTC